ATTGAGAATTTATAGAATTTTTTTATTGTTCATTTTTATTTTTTTAATCTCAACGACTCTTTCTTAACGGCTATTTTCAAAAAAAAATTTGCTCAAAGAACAACATAGTGTAGCTGCTGGCTGGATAGAGGTTTTTGTGTAAATTTTTTTTATTCCCTAGGAGCTCCCAAGCGCTCCACAAATTTGTGGAGCGCTTGGGAGCTCCACTGGGCCCCACTTCCTACCCGTTGGCCACATCAGCCTAAGGACAGCCTAAGGAGACCACCTAAGAGCTTGTTGGAGGTGCTCCAACAAGCTCTCATCGCCACCTCATCCTTAGGAGGTGGGGTAGGAGCTTGTTGGAGTTTCCGTAAAAGATGGGTTTCTTAATTAGTGTATGGATGAATTTAGTAAAACTATTATAAACACCTAGTTGTTTTGCAAAGAAAACATATCACTAACTAATATTGAAAGAGTAAATTAATTATGAGCTGACACTATCATGACTGAGGACAGTAGGGCCGGGTATGTTAACCCTATGGGAACGTCTACGAGAACTCTTGGTGGCTGTGATAAGGTTGAACGTAGAGATATTCAAAGGACGATACGTAGATCAGACAGATGAGGGCTTGTTTACAGCAACGCTGAATTTTCTGATAAAATCATTAAACAATTCTGAACTTCATGGGATTATCAGATATTTGCTGCAAACTGAAACGTGTCATTACAAAACCAGCACATAATTTTTGATAACTATGTTACCTTTCTATTAAATTGAAAGTTTGTAATATCGTTCTCTAATCAAAACAGTTCACCATAGTTTATAAAAATTTCCCTTTTAAAACATGTGAAAATAAAAGACAAACGAAGGGAAGAATTGCAAATGAGGGTAGCCCGAATTTTAGAGATCAGCCGCGTCTAACGGACGATCCTATAAACTCTCCATCATTCTCCACCTCAACTTTTTGTTAACGCCACAGTTAAACCCTCTCCATTCTCCTCTCATTTCCTTCTCTTCTCTCATTCTTGCAAAGAGTTTAAACTCAAGGATTCTATATATTTTGCTCAAGAAAATATGTCCACAGGGATATCAGAGGAGGAGATGCAGAGGATCTTCAAACGCTTCGATACCAACGGCGATGGCAAGATCTCCTCTGCCGAGCTCGGTGAAGCCCTCCGGACCCTCGGATCGACGTCTACCGACGAGATACAGAGCATGATGGCTGAGCTCGACAGCGACGGCGACGGCTACATCGACTACAACGAGTTCGTTACTTTCTGCAAGGATAACCCTGGCCTCATGAAGGACGTTGCCAAGGTCTTCTAAAGGAAATTAGCTCTGGTCGATTGGTTTCCGTTCTTGTTTGTTTGATTGATTGAATTAGTAGGTTACTGTTTTGTTTGTTTGTTGTTTTTATTTATTTATTGTAATTGATTAATTATGATGGGTACTTTGTTTATTTAAGATTGGCTTTTTGTTTATTTGTTTGTTGGCTTGATGCGCTGCGGAAAAGTATACTTAAAGTAGCAACAAACATAATATACTATTCAAGAATCCGTCATGGATAGTCTAGATGGTTAATATGACTCTCACGGTCTTGAATTCAATTCTTGGTCTTGAATTCAATTCTCGACTGAAGTAGAAAAAAACTACTCTGTATGCACACGTGACCCCTTATTATTAGAAACTTGCTTCACGTCCTTATAACATAAACTTTCAAGAAAGAAGGATAAATTAATTATTCAAAAAACAAAAAACTTGCTTCACGTCCTTATAACATAAACTTTCAAGAAAGAAGGATAAATTAATTATTCAAAAAACAAAAAACTTGCTTCACGTCCTTATAACATAAACTTTCAAGAAAGAAGGATAAATTAATTATTCAAAAAACAAAAAAAAACAAAAAATAAATGTAACAAAACTCTGTTTATATTCATCCAAACCAAAGCTAAAACCTTTCATTAAGCATTTCCATATATATTGGTTTCAAGAGAAAACTAGACGATTTCAGATTATCTCCATTTAATCAGAGGAAGATAATGGCTCAGAAAAAGTAGTTTAATATAGATAAGTGCTCATTCACATTTTCTGCTCAAGATTCAAGCTAACATAAGAATATAAGATGTTCTATACTTTGTTCTATACTTTGTTTGATGAAATCGACTAAGCCTGAGATCACATACAAAAGAATAATGTTAATTTAACCGCCGCTCCGAAATACAGAGGATGTTTGGTATATTATATTGCAATTATAAATTCAGCGAGTATAAAGTGTTATACAATTTGTTGCGCCTCGAGAATCCAAACCAATCGTCAAGAAAAGATAAACCAACACACCAACAAGCACAAACAATCACTAACACCAGTTTTACGTGGTTCGGCAAGATGCCTACGTCCACGGGGCAAGGAGAGGAGAGTTTTTCACTATTAGAAACAAGAGGATACAACTAGGGTTACAAATCTCTCACCCAAAAACCCACAACAAGTCACTCTTGATCTCTCCCAATTGCTCCAACAATAGAAGCCCAATAACTCACCCTCAATGGCTGCTAAAACCCCTTGCTTACAAACCCTAAAACCAAGTTTGGGTATTTATAGAAAACCCAAACGAAACGGGTCTGGAAAACAGACCCAACCCAAAACCGCTTCGGCGGTCGACCGGCACGGTCGACCGACCTCCCCCCCAAAAACCCACAACAAGTCACTCTTGATCTCTCCCAATTGCTCCAACAATAGAAGCCCAATAACTCACCCTCAATGGCTGCTAAAACCCCTTGCTTACAAACCCTAAAACCAAGTTTGGGTATTTATAGAAAACCCAAACGAAACGGGTCTGGAAAACAGACCCAGTCCAAAACCGCTTCGGCGGTCGACCGGGTCGGTCGACCGCCCTCCATCCAGCAGCAAGCCCAAAGATCCAGAGAGTTCGGCGGTCGACCGCGTCGGTCGACCGCTACCATCTTCGGTCGACTGTGTCGGTCGACCGCCACCAATCCTGATGCCCAGAAACTCCTGTGCACGAATGCGGTCGACCGCACCGGTCGACCGCCAACCTGTTTGCCTGAAAACCTGATCCTGAGCACCATCTCTTCACAGGGAAGGGTAATGGAATAAAGGAAATGTTGTTTTTTTCTAGGGTTAGAAATCTTAGAATAATGAGTTCTTTTTTGGGACTCTCAAGACCAGAATTTTTCTCAAATTTATCCTACATTAATGACTCATGGACCCAAATTAGGGACCCAAGGCATGGGACATGTGAGGTGTCACTATCCGGTTGCATGATGCACTGTTCAAACAGTGCATCATGCAACCAGTGACACCTCACCTGTCCCATGCACTAGGTCCCCTATTTGGATCCTTGTAGCAACACCCTTTATCCTATTCAAATTAGCTTTTTTTAATAAAAATACAAAACTCTCCTTAGCCCTAGAGACAGAAGAGAAGGTCAAAGCCTTAAGATAGCCAAAAGGCTAAAAACTTTAATGAGAGGCCAAAATAGTTGGTTGGTGGGCAAAGAGGCTGGACAAACCTGATGAAGTAGGAATTAACAGAGGCACCGTAAAAGGAGTCAAAAGTTTCGGCAAAAAATAAGAGCAGAGAGGCGAACCAGAGAGCTCATGCAAGAAAAGGCCTTCACCGTTGAGGCTAAGACCAACTTGGCCATTCCCGCATTCACGAAGGAACGAAACCCAGCATCAAGTATAATGTCGCTAATGGGGGCAGTAGTTTTGCAATACAAAAGGAGAGATGGGCCCAAAAGGCTTAGAAATCAAAGTTAACAGACATAAAATTTAAACTCCTGCTGTTTATGTTGTGCAAGTTTAAGAGGAAAGGAGCGATCAAGCAACGTAAGTACGTATGGTCTAAAGTGTTAGATAGTTATTGGGAGGAATATTGAAAACCTGGAACGCAGCCATAAACTTTGAATAAACAATGTATGCATGCAAGCCATTTCGGAATAGTGAAGCCCACAACGGGTATGAAGGGGAAAATGTTTTCACCAAACGAGGTGATAGGAATTTTATAATTAAGAAACACAAAGGCTTTGTTCGGTTTGGATATATAGAAGGAAGGAAAATAAAAGAAGATGATTGGATATATAGAAGGAAGGGAAAATTGTTTTCACTAAAATTAACAAACGACTAGACACAGTTAAATACGTGCATTAACTTGGAATGATGTCATAGGAATTATCGGAACAAAGATAATTAGTACAACAAAACAGAAAAAATAAAGCGCACACAATCTTGACTGAACTCCATAACACTATGTACCATCTTTCTTAATAAATGATGAGTGATGATGCTGCTAGTTTCTGAGAATTTTCTCCAAGATGATAGCTTCTTAGTATGAAATTTGGACCCTCAGAGCCCCTAATCCTGAAAGTGTATATTGTGTTAACATCCACCCTATGTAGATTTTCTTAGAAAAATTCACAGCCATAAAAAATGTAAAAAATCAGTCTACAAGGCCTCCAGGGAAGGTTATGGAATAAAGGAAAGTTTGTTTTTTTCTAGGGTTAGAAATCTTAGAATGAGTTCTTTTTTGGGACTCTCAAGGCCAGAATTTTTCTCAAATTTATCCTACATTAATGACTCATGGACCCAAATTAGGGACCCAAGGCATGGGACATGTGAGGTGTCACTATCCGGTTGCATGATGCACTGTTCAAACAGTGCATCATGCAACCAGTGACACCTCACCTGTCCCATGCACTAGGTCCCCTATTTGGATCCTTGTAGCAACACCCTTTATCCTATTCAAATTAGCTTTTTTTAATAAAAATACAAAACTCTCCTTAGCCCTAGAGACAGAAGAGAAGGTCAAAGCCTTAAGATAGCCAAAAGGCTAAAAACTTTAATGAGAGGCCAAAATAGTTGGTTGGTGGGCAAAGAGGCTGGACAAACCTGATGAAGTAGGAATTAACAGAGGCACCGTAAAAGGAGTCAAAAGTTTCGGCAAAAAATAAGAGCAGAGAGGCGAACCAGAGAGCTCATGCAAGAAAAGGCCTTCACCGTTGAGGCTAAGACCAACTTGGCCATTCCCGCATTCACGAAGGAACGAAACCCAGCATCAAGTATAATGTCGCTAATGGGGGCAGTAGTTTTGCAATACAAAAGGAGAGATGGGCCCAAAAGGCTTAGAAATCAAAGTTAACAGACATAAAATTTAAACTCCTGCTGTTTATGTTGTGCAAGTTTAAGAGGAAAGGAGCGATCAAGCAACGTAAGTACGTATGGTCTAAAGTGTTAGATAGTTATTGGGAGGAATATTGAAAACCTGGAACGCAGCCATAAACTTTGAATAAACAATGTATGCATGCAAGCCATTTCGGAATAGTGAAGCCCACAACGGGTATGAAGGGGAAAATGTTTTCACCAAACGAGGTGATAGGAATTTTATAATTAAGAAACACAAAGGCTTTGTTCGGTTTGGATATATAGAAGGAAGGAAAATAAAAGAAGATGATTGGATATATAGAAGGAAGGGAAAATTGTTTTCACTAAAATTAACAAACGACTAGACACAGTTAAATACGTGCATTAACTTGGAATGATGTCATAGGAATTATCGGAACAAAGATAATTAGTACAACAAAACAGAAAAAATAAAGCGCACACAATCTTGACTGAACTCCATAACACTATGTACCATCTTTCTTAATAAATGATGAGTGATGATGCTGCTAGTTTCTGAGAATTTTCTCCAAGATGATAGCTTCTTAGTATGAAATTTGGACCCTCAGAGCCCCTAATCCTGAAAGTGTATATTGTGTTAACATCCACCCTATGTAGATTTTCTTAGAAAAATTCACAGCCATAAAAAATGTAAAAAATCAGTCTACAAGGCCTCCAGGGAAGGTTATGGAATAAAGGAAAGTTTGTTTTTTTCTAGGGTTAGAAATCTTAGAATGAGTTCTTTTTTGGGACTCTCAAGGCCAGAATTTTTCTCAAATTTATCCTACATTAATGACTCATGGACCCAAATTAGGGACCCAAGGCATGGGACATGTGAGGTGTCACTATCCGGTTGCATGATGCACTGTTCAAACAGTGCATCATGCAACCAGTGACACCTCACCTGTCCCATGCACTAGGTCCCCTATTTGGATCCTTGTAGCAACACCCTTTATCCTATTCAAATTAGCTTTTTTTAATAAAAATACAAAACTCTCCTTAGCCCTAGAGACAGAAGAGAAGGTCAAAGCCTTAAGATAGCCAAAAGGCTAAAAACTTTAATGAGAGGCCAAAATAGTTGGTTGGTGGGCAAAGAGGCTGGACAAACCTGATGAAGTAGGAATTAACAGAGGCACCGTAAAAGGAGTCAAAAGTTTCGGCAAAAAATAAGAGCAGAGAGGCGAACCAGAGAGCTCATGCAAGAAAAGGCCTTCACCGTTGAGGCTAAGACCAACTTGGCCATTCCCGCATTCACGAAGGAACGAAACCCAGCATCAAGTATAATGTCGCT